AATTTTGTATTCATTAACCAGGATTTCACTTTCCCCTCCCCCGAACATGGATATGGTTAGCCTTGACTGAGAGGGGGCAAATGAAGTATTGGACTCAGTGTCTGGCATATAAAAAACACTAAATAAATAGTTATCATTATTGGTAGTTTTAAACTATTTCTCTTCTTTTTCTTCCCCATTATTATTATTTGCTACTCAGAGCAAGGAGGCACAACCCAGGATAAGATGACTCTTTCTTGGATTTTCGCTAAAATCACATAGAGTTTAAGAAAATCAAAGAACAGTGTTTCACACTTGAAATTTTCTTGAAATAAGTCATTGTGAACTTGTGTCATGCTGATCTGAACAATATACAGACCATTTTTTGAAAAGATACCTCTTTGACTACAACAAGTACATGCAAATTGCTTTAGTAATTCAGCTTTAGGGTCCTCCATCAGGTTCTTCTAAACGGTTCCTTTCAAAATCCTGGACCTCCACCACCAGCCCTGAGGCCCTGAGTCATTCTCTACAGAAGCCAAACTATTAAGAGCACTCACCAAAGGATGGCCACGCTAAAATAAAGATGAAGTACATGGGAAATGATTACATGCACAAATGACACAACAATAGGATTTGCAGAACCAAATTTTGATTGAGAAGCAATGCTTCATGAATATACTTAGTATTCAAAAAATTAGGCCCATGTTGGGATACAAAAAACCAAAATGCACAATTTTTCTTCTTTTTCTTTCTTTCATTCCTCTTTTATAGTTCAATGTTGTGATTTGTTAAATTGTAAGTCACTCCCTACCGAGAACGTCCAAAATGATAGGTTAAATCGAAGTTTTCAAAACCAAGACGGGCCTCACAGCACTCATTCTTGGATGTGCATCAAATGGAGATGTGTTTTGAGCAGCAAAAGACAGGGTTTTACCCTTAATTTTGTGGCTACTTTAATATGTTTCCTAATTTCCTGGTTTGACTGGTACCCTGGATTGTTCCACATTTGCCTTTTCTAAGCTTCTCAATAAAACAGCCTCCAAAAATAGAAAATTTCACAACAACTCTGGGAGAAAATATCTCTAATTACAGCATGGATAGGCCAGATTGAAACAATTTGCGTTTAAACAGGGCAATTCTTTTTAGAGAAAGAAACACTATTTCCAAAGCTCCATAACTTTAGAAATGAGATTCCAGAACAAAGCACATGCATTCATCCAATGGACATTATCCTAAACATAAAAATATATATTTATACATTTGTAGATTTTTAAATACCTCTCTAGGTGATTACAAAAAAGAAATATAATGTCATCAGATGTGTTTTCTATTGGCAGAGCACAGCTCCTGGTCACTGTCTTCATTTCTGGCTCAGGTGTGGGGCCATCTCATTGCAAAAACAAACACAAGAACACTAAGATAAAAGAAGGAAAAGCAGAAATGGTGGACTGGTGCTCAACAGTTTGTTATGCTGTCTAGGTAAATATCAAGTCCACAGCTTGTTCCCCCTCCACGTTCCTGGGTCTCATTATGGATATATGTGTATATGCTGGTGTATGAAATATGACGGGAGTGAACAGCTGGAGAAGGAACCAGTGACCTAAGGAGTCAAATTTATTTGTTTATAGGCAAATAAGATCACTACTTCTCTTTTTATATCACAATGTTAATATTATCTGTCTCTCATAAGAGTGAGATATAAACTAATGATGTAGAGAACAAAGTCAAGCTGTGAGTGTCTGATTTCTTTCTTTATAATACAGAATTTGTTTAAGAAATTAAATAATTTATATATGTTGAGCTGTCATTCGTAGAACATTTGGTGGAATACTATGAGGAGGTAATATCGGACAGGCCAGGCTTAGATCATCTGGCTTTAAAACAGCTTCATGGGAATGTTCTCTCTTTAAGGTTGTATTTTTTACTATTACATTTATGATATAGAGGAAGAGTTTAAAATCATATCTCACACACATGCATGCACACATGTGCCATACAGAGAGGAAGCCTAAGTGTAATGAAAATGGTATTGGCTTTGCAACATACCAGACCTGGGTGTTTGGGAAACATTACCTAAACCATTTGTCTCTATTTTCTCTTCTAAAAGCAGAAGATAACACCACACGACTTACGGGTTTGTCATGCAGATTACATAGTGACATGATGGCACACTGTCTCTGTTACATCCAGGTTACTGCACTTGCATTTTCTCTGTGCATACTGCCTCCCTTCTCCACACCAAAAGCCACACCAAAGCTCCTTGGATTTCCTGAACATTGCCAGCTCTCTCTTGCCTACACAGTTTTGTTCATACTGTTCCCCCTGCTTGGAACACTCTCCTCCCCTGCCCTTTGCACAGCTAATTTGTAATCTACTTTCAGGACCAAGCCTGGAAATTGTTCTTCTGTGACACCTTTGCTGACATCCCAAGACTAGACTGTGTTCTTTGTTCGTGCACTCCAAGAGCACCCTAACTTCTGCCACCATGGCCTTCTTCCGCTGTGTTAGTTGTCAGTTTTTAGTAGATGACAAGCTCCTTAAAATAAGAATCTATGTTTTTCAATGTTGTAGCTATGGCTCCTAGCAATGATCTTTCAAAACAGTCAGTGCTGATGAGGGTGTAGCGAGATGGCTACTCTTTCACACTTTTTGTACAAAAGAGAGGCATTTGGTGTAAACATAATACACTTATTGGGTATCCATACTGTGCAAAGCATTGCACTAATTGCTTTCATGCATTGTCTTATTTAATCATCTTGACACTCCTCAGGAATAGGTAGTACTAGTACCCATGATATACAGATCAAGAAACAAAAACTCTGAGTTGAAATGACTTGCACAAGGGCACAAAGCTTTAGGTGGTAGAATCAGGAAACAAACTCAAGTCTGTCTGATACTAACAATATTTTTGCTCAACAACAATGCTCTACTGTGCAAGTTTTCTGGAAAGCAAATAAATTATTCACACTTCAATTAATGCTGTGGAATAAACAGGAGCATAAGATATATGATGGAAATAAACAAACATTTATTTAATTCAGTGAACATTTATATATATAGTAGTAGGAACCATAAATATTCATTTCTTCTGCGCATTAATTCATACCCATTTTCTTTCTCTTTTTCTTTTTTCAGTTAAGTGGCTTCTAATAAGCATATATTGGGGGATATTTTCATACTGTGTCTTTTATTTGGGGCACTAGAAATAAAATGTCCCCAATACTCCTTCTCTCTCAGTGAAATTACGTTGGACTCACAGGGTGGATAGAGAAGAGAGTGTGACATGCATTGTGAGCTCACTAAAATGCCCACTCCTCAAGAGCAGTGACTGGTTTTTCATTGTATCTTCACCTCCTGGCACGGTGACTTCCCCACTGTAGACAAATGATTAACACTGAAGGAATGAGTTATTTAAATGGGTAATGAACTTGAGGTTACAGAATTTGTAAAGGCTGTTTAGAAACTATAAACTTCAATCATACAATGAAATTGGAAAATAAAATGGGGGATCTATCCCTAGATAATATCTAAAAGAAAAATATTTTTCAGAGGTTACTACATGCAGTTTCTCAAAGTAATTGTATTTATAGAAGTGGAAAAACCAAGCAAAAATGAACATGGAGTTGAATTAAACAACTACTGGAGAACTTACTAAATAAATATAAGATGATGCTAGGACCTGATTATTTATTTTATAACTAAGCAGAATTTTCTTATTGTTATGAGAACTCATCCTTTGGTCACAGAATAATTTGCATATCAGGCCAAGAGAAAATAAAGCTTTATCTTATGTAAAGAAGTCAGAGTGATTTTACTAAAACTCATCTCTAGTGAGGTCCATTTTCCTACTAAGATGTCTAAGGGCTTCCCACTGACATTCTGTTTTAAACATCAAACTGTTTTCCCTAGTATGTTTGGTTCAAGATCATTCCCCCATTCTCTGTCACTCCACACTACGCTCCCTATACTCCAATCACACTAAACTTTTCGTAATTTTCTCAAAATATTACGCTTTTTTATGCTTTATTCTCCAGACCTGGAATGCCTTCCTCTCTATCTAGTGACCCTCATTCATCCTTCAAGACACAGATCAAATGTTACTGAGGCTTCAAGCTCCTTCAGGTTGAGCTAACTGAGTTGGTGGGTGCTCTGTGAGGGCTCCCACCCATGCACCTACCAACCACAAGCTGTGGTCACTGATTCTACTCAAACCACAAAATCTTCAGATCCAGCAATAGTTTCTCACTTGTCTTTGTACCCTTTATAGAGAGCCCTATAAAGATTTGTTGATTTCATGAGGGAATTGTTACTGCTTGGAGGTGTAATATGTCTTCTTTTTATTTTCCTTCTGAACTACTCAATGAAAAGAATGATGGGAATAAATAAACTTTTATTTAATTTATCGAACACCCTCTATGTGCCAAACACTTGGTTCAGTGCTGCGTATATAATGGTGGACCAGACAGATGTTGTTCTTGCCCTCAAGGAACCTGTACTCAATGAGGGGAAACATAGCAAAGAAGTTACACAAGCAAAATAATTATAGCTCGTGATGAGTGAAAAGACAGAAGGAATTGGGGCATATAGTGGAGAATGGAGGAAATGGTGGGGAAACAACTTCAGAGAAGGAGTTGCAGGAAGGGGGAAATGTGAGCAGGCAGTTGAATGAGGAGGAGTCGAGAACCATGTCCATGCATAAGGAAGGGCCATTCAAATGTCCTGGGGTAGGAATCAGCTCAGCATGATTTGCAAAGAGCACAGGGCTGATGGGCTGGAGTGAAGTGGGCAGAGGAACACTGACGCTAGATGAAGCTGGAATGGCAGGGGATAGACAGCATAAAGCCTTGTCTGCTGGAGTAAACAGTGTCACGATATTCTAAATGCAGTGGAACACAGTGTACAGTTTTCAGCCAAGAATGACATGGTTGAATTTGCATGGTAACAAAGTTTGTGTTGTAAGCCATGATGTACTTTTTAAATTTTTAAAAATCCTGTACATCTATCAGTGACTTCCTTACTAGTTTACTGTTTACTTCATTCTCTTCTCCACTGGAGGGCTCCAGAGATCGTCATAAGTTTGTAGCCTAGTTAGTCTCCCAAGTATCTTCCTCGTGGCTCTCTGTGTTTCTCCAACAGCTGCACAATAAAACACCAGCAAGAGTATGAAGTACTGAATAAATGAAAGATTAAAACACAATCAGCAATTTGAAAAAGGTCAGCATTTGATAGACTGTAGATGATACAATAATAAGAATTACTATTTTTTCCTATGGCATACCAAGCCTTTTCATGAACAAATAATCTAGTATTAGTTTTGTTTTAAGCAAAAGTAACTGTACCAACAGAAGAAAGATTTATAGAACAGATCTGAGAACTACTGGAGCATAAGCTGGTAGCCTACTTGTTAAAATGACAACCTTAACAATTGCCAGTTTCTGAGTGCTTATGCTGTGCTGCTCAGCACTGTGTCAAGTGCATTATTATAAATATTATCTTATTTAATTCTTCATCAATCATAGCTGTTAGGGATGGCCATTGTTCCCTTTACTGGAATTGGAAAACTGAGGCTCAGGGCCTTTAAGTGACTTGGCCAGTATCTCAGAGATATTAAGTGGGAGAGCTGGCATTTGGATGAAAGACTGCCTGACCCCAAAGCCCTCAAGAGACCAAACTGAAGCCCCAGAACACCCCAAAGCCCCAGAACACCAAACTGAAGAGGTTTCTAGAGACTTAGGTTTCAGTCTCAGCCCACTTTCTTGCAGTTTCAGTTTCCTTGGTGATAAAATAGATATCATTATCTCTTGGGGGGGTGGGGGGAAGATCACAAAGGCTCTACAAATTTATAATGCATCTCCAATGTCATGAAGATAATCAAAATGTTTTGTAAACTACAAACAATGGATTTTTTGACAGGTGCTTGATTTTTTGGCTTAAAAATAAAACCCTCCCCTCGAAATGAATTCCTTGAAATTTTTTTTTTCCAGAACTAGCTTGTTTTTAGCCCCTTCTTGTAACTTGCCCCAAATTCCACATTGTTTATTTACAGCATCTAATCCTCTGTCAGACAGGTTCTTCGTAAGGAATTGGCAACATAAGGTGGTAGGAAGAAAAATAGCATGGGAAGTAAGTTCCTACCCACGTCTGCTACTCACTCATTGTGCAGCTTTGGGCAAATCCCTTCTTCCTGACCCCAAATGCAAAATGAACAAGTGGGTTAGTTGGAGATAAAGGTTATCCCAAGTTTTAGAATACTAGGGTCAAATGTAGCCCATGGCTGAGATGAGAGAAAGGAGAGGAAAAAGGCCAGATGACAATAGAGTTATTCTAACATATTTGCTTAATGAGTGCATTATGGGGCTTTTAACTATAATGTGGTCATCTAAACTTCAACAATTTCAGCAGATATTTGAGATACATGAGGCACCATCCTAGCAAGTGAATCTAGATAGATCAAAAAGCGGAGTCTGAAAAAGACATGTCGGCCACAGAAATATTTTGTTATCAACACAGTCTTAAACATTTTAAAAACTTTTCAATGTTTATAACTAATGGGAAATTTAACACAAAAGTTCTCGTTTCCAGTTTCTCTTTAAAAACTTGAATATTGGCAATGCTGAGCCGGCATTTCCACTTGGCAGGGAAATACGGAGCTGAATAGAAGTCCCCGCCCCCCGCCCCCTGCAAGACTGGACCCTCACCCTCGGTTTGCGGCCCCGCAAATGCCCACCGTCCCGCACCCCCACCGTTTCATAAGCAACCGACGTGTCAGTTCCCGGTTGGTTTAAGTGTGTGTGACTCTTGGGTTAGAGGGAAAACAATAAGTTACTTCAATCGTGTTATTCCAAAGGGAATTTCAGGGAGCTGCGGTGGAAGAGAACAGAAACTCCCGGTGGGTCGCCTTCGTCTCCGCGCTCCTGCCCCCGCCCCCACCTCCCCACCAGACCGAGGGTGAAAAAGACGCGCGGAGAACTTGGCGGCCGGGAACCAGGAGGCCTGCGGCCAGCAAGCGTTCTCTCCACTGCTTGCTCTGCTCCACTGGGCAAGGATCTCCTGTGTCTGTGCCTCGATTCCCCCAGCAGTCAACGAGAAAACCTACCAGACCATAGTTGTTAACGGGTCTTTCCTGTCGCGACCTGTGAAATTCTCAGCCCTCCCCTGGGTCTTCCCAATGCCCCCAGGGAAGTCTTAAAGGAAATCTTGCGTCTCCCCACCTGAGATCTGCAGGCTCATACCTGACACCCCCACATCCACCAACTCGGCGGCGCGGCCCGGGTCTCTTCGGGGCGTCACTCCAGGGAAACCGGCCCGGGTGCGGGAAGTTGGGGCGCGCTCTGCGCCCTGGAGGCTCCGGGGTCTGCCGAGGCGCCGCGGGATCCCCGCCGAAGGCTGGGGCAGCGCCCGCAGCCCTCTCCTCCTGCCTCGCCCTCCCGAGTCCTTGTCCGGTTTCCGCCGGCGACGCAGGACCTTCGGCGACTGGCGCTCACCCAGGCGACTGCCTGGCCGTTTCTGGGGAGGGCGCCGATCGGGGACGCCCGCTGGCGAGCTGCTCGCCGCCTCCGTCTCCGGCCCGGGAGCCACCCCTCCCAGGGGAGCTGCGCGCTCGGGCGGCGCTCGGACCCCTCGGCAGCCGCAGGTGCCCGGCCCAGCCCAGCCCGGCCCAACCCGGCCCAGCCCGGCCCCGCGCTCACAGCCGCCGCTGCGCCCAGGCAGGTAGGTGCCTTTCCTTGCTCTCTCCGTTAGCCCCCACTCCCTGAATGGAAGCATCATTTTGAGCTCCTTGGGAGGAATGCAGGAAGAACCCGGACTAGGTGAGTTGTGATTTAGATTTTTTTTTTTTTTTAAATAAATCTTCATACTAGGGGTACTGTTGGGAAGCCAGGAAGTTAAAGGGGAAGAGAAATAAGACAAAGGCAGCCAGTCAAGATAACTCACACAGCCAGATGAAGAATGGGACCCATTCTAGCTATTTTGTACCCCACCTGGTCCCCCAGCCTGGCCCAGGCACAGGCAGACTTCCATAAATATTTGCTGGGTCAGAATAAGTGAGTGGAGATGTTTCTGCTTGTTTCTCTCATCCAACTTCTAAAGAAGCAAAACACTGCCTTTGATGATGGTTGGCTTCATCTCCACAAGGATTTTTTTTTTTTTTTTTTTTTTTTTTTTT